AGCACAGCCCCGGGGCCGCCCTGTGCCGGAGCTGATCTCTGTTCCTCCGCAGAGATAAAATGATTCCTTTGGGATTAACGGCACTTTTAAACACTTCTGAATGGGGACAGGGCCCAAGACCTGACCGTAAAATCTGGGTTTGAAAGGACTTAAAATAAATCCCCCGCTGCCCTAGTCTTGCTATTTAAGGGGGATTATCTAAGGGGTTTAGGAGCACACGGAGGACAGCAGGACAACCTGTGCACCTCAATCCCCTCAAAGACCCTCAGAAAACCTTTCTGCATCTCACCTGCTGACAGCTCAGGGCTCACAGGACACCCTTCAGGTTTCTCAGAGTATACCACATGCCCAGGTGAAGTTCAGGGCTCCAGTTGCATCTATGGGGTTCACTCCCAGACACTCCCATCCTCACTGGGGACGGTCCTGCAGCCGTGGTAGGGGTCATTGGTGTCACTGTCCTCCACAACACCCTTTGTGGGAAAAAGCCACCCTGTGCCACTCAGACAGTGAGGGTTTTTTAATAAATACCTTTTTTTTTTTTTTTTTTTTTGCACAGAAATATACCAAGTTTTACAGAATACAAACTGCAGGGATAATGACCGAGCATCAAAGACAGAGGATGCAGAGCACCCTTGTGTCTCCTCCTGGTGTTCTCCAGGCTCTGGCCCTGACACTCACTGTCAGGTCTCCCCATAACCCCGATCTGCTAAGGCTGGGGAGGGGACAGACAAGGTGCCAGCATGTCCTGCCCCAGGAGCAGCCACGCTGGGCAAGCCTCAGCTCTGGGCTGAGGGCACCAGCTGCGAGAGCATCACCGGGGCCGGGCAGGATGCAGGCCACTGATGGATGGACAATAGCCTTTTTGTGCTGGTGGAGAGACTGGTGCTGGGTGAACACCGGGTGGTGGCAGTGCTGGGAGTTCCTGGGCTGCTTCTGGGGGCTTGGAGCACAACCCTTGTATTAATCCATCAGACACGATTGGGGAAGGACAGCCCCGTTGCCTGGACCCTACAGGCAGCTGCCCAAGGTTAAGAGGACGCTGATCCCACAGCAAAGCACCTGGCTCTGCCCTGCCCTGGCAACACAACCACCTGAGCAGGGCTTGGCCCTGCTCCTGACTGTCACAGCGTGGCCTTGTGGCTCCCACCCCTGTCAGCTGGACTTCCGTGCCACAGCCCTGAACACCAAACACTCAGCCCACCCGAGAGGTCAGGAGGACAGTGGGGTCTTGCATCCCACTTTACCTGCTCTGGAGGACAAAGAGCCCCAGAGAGAGGGGCCAGGCAGGGCAGAGAGGTTTGGGGTAGGGAGAGGGGAGGTTTGGCCTGTGTGCAGGCTCTCAGCTCTGGGGCAGACACAGGATAGGCCACACTCCAGGAGAGAGTTGGATTCCCATCACTTAAAGCCATGAGACCACATTTGGCTTGGGGTCAGAGACAACCCCCTTGGCCAGCTCTGCAGCAGCCAGACCTCCAGCTGCTCAGCACCCACAGGGGGAAAGCAGAGAGCACCAGGAAAAGGCCCTGCTACTCCAAAGTCACTTACCTCAAGTACAACACCACCACAAGCCCTTTCTCCCTTTCCAAAGAGAACTAGGAGATCAGAGAGCACCTTCCTGTCCCTCCCTGATCTCCACACAGCAAATACCACTACAGGCACCACAGTGTGGACCGGGCTTCCCACTTCCACTTGGCAACAAATCCACATGGGGGAAGCACCATCTCCCCACAGAGCTGGCCCCACCAACTGAGGGGATGGACAAAAGTCTGCCACATCAATCCTGCATCTCCATCATCTAATCAGAGCCCTGAGCAGTAGAACAGAGCCCAGTGAGGACATGGGGTGAGGCTGAGCAGCAGCCCAGGGCGGCAGCAAGGCTGCTCTAATCATGGGAAATGTTATGTCCGTTTGAGGGGGAAGTGAGGAAATCAAATGCACTGTGGGGAGACCCCTGCATTGAGCCAAGAACAAGCTGCTGCTCTGCTCTGGCTGCTACAGCACTTATGTGAGTGGGGAGTGAGGGGCAGGAGATGGCTGGCTGGCTCCAGAGCCATCCCACAGCCCTGCCTCACCCCACCTGGGGACAGCTATTTTTGGTTAGGAGGGTAAGGCTATTGTGTGATGGCACCAGATTGTACAGGTGAGATGGGGGCCTGACAGACACCTGAAGGAGGTCCCAGGCATGGTGAAGAGAGGGTGGCTGGGTGAGTGTGAGTGTGTGAAGAGGCAGGAGGGAGGCAAACCAGCTATTTGCCCACGGCAGGGGCCGTGGCCACGATCTCTTCGTACTTGGGTGGAGGGTCACTGTAGGAGACGCTGGTCTCCTCACCGCTGCTGCTGCTCTCCGGGTGGCCCGTCACCTCCTCGTAGGAAGGCGGGGGGGTGGCACTGGACAGTCTGGAGAGGACAGAGACAGAATGCTCTGGTGGGCAGAGGGTGCCATCTGGCTGGGGGGTGCCCCCGGCTCTGCCGTCCCCAGCTCCCCGGTTGCTGGCTTCCCGCTGGTACTGGGTCTCCCCTTGGCTCTGCGACCGCTCCCGGTACACCATGACCCTGGGGAGGCTGCGGCCCGTCCGGCTGGCCAGGTAACGGTTCTGGGCATAGGAAGGGCGGTGGCGGGTGGCCTTTTGCAGCTGGCACCTCCAGATGATGAACAGGGCGATGACTATGAGAAGAGCCACCCCCAAGAGGGGCACTACCACGTACATAGCGTCAGAGCGCTCCGTGCTGTGCCCGGGGTCCTTGACAGAGTACACAGAGCTGGTGTAGCCTTTCCAAAACTCCATCTGTGATGGGAACAGAGAAACAACCATCATGTGCTGCAGGTGGGAGAAGGACACCAATCACCACCAGCAATAATCTCTGCCCTCCCCAGGCCCACGAAAAGGGCAGCATTTTGGATGTCCCCCACCCCTTCAACTTGAGGCAACACAAAAGGTCCTGAGAACATCCCTCAACAGCCCCCATATCAAGCAGGGAAAAATTTATTCCACACCAAGCCCAGCCTAGAGAATAATGGACAAGAGCACAGATTTGCCACACGTGCCATGGGAGCACCAGCTGCAGCTGTGGGCAGGGTGTCCTGGTAAAGCAAGGTGAGGCCATTGCCTGGGAAGGGAAAGCCATGCTGGGAAGTGAGACCACAACGTGCTGCCTGCAGCCAGAAGAGGACAAAGGGAACAGGAGAGACTGTTCCCCTTGTGCTTTCCTTCTGTCTCCAGCCTGCTGAGGTGTGAGCCCTCCCACATGCCCTGGGGAGCAGTGCAGGACAAACACACCGTCTTCTCCTTGTTCTCAAACACCTCCTTGACCTCCTCGTAGCTGCAGACCTCCTCGATGCACTCCCGCTCGATGGTGCCCTGCCGGATCTCCTCCAGGAAGCCATTGGCTCTGGGAAAGCGTTTCAGGAGTGAGTGGGCATTCCTGGCCCCCAAGAACACTGCAATACACAAGGCAGAGACATGCTGAGCAGGGACAACCCCACACCCGGCCTCTGCACAGCCAAGCTTCCCAACCCAGCTTCCTGACGCTACATGCATCCCCAACACCAAAAACCCAGGGATGCAATCAGGTAGGACAGCAGGTAGGACAGCCAAAGGGGCACAGGACTCTTGGGGTTTGCCCATATGGCACCAGGAGCCCTCCTGTCAGGGCTGAGGTGCTAGAGACATCAGAAGCGGCAGCTGCAGCCACACAGGGCAACTGAGGAAGAGACAAAAGGCTCAAAAAATATTTGATTCCAACCTTCTGCCACTGATGGATTCCATCTTTCTGCCCCTTTGCTGCAGGGCAAGGGAGATCCCACAGGGCTGGGACACAGAGCTCTGCCAGGACACGGGGCCAGCACCGAGAGGGACTCACAGCCCACAGCTCAACACGACAGCCTGCTGGAAGCTGGTGTCCCTGCTGCCAGCTGCTGAAGTGGCATCAAGGACTCTGTTCAGGCACCAGAGAAACCACTGACTTCTCCCAGGCCCAGGATAACAAGGGAAAACATCCCCAAAACACAGGAACAGCACAGGAGATTATGAGTCAGGGGCCTGAGCAACCTCTCCTCACACAGCATCACATTCTCATCCCCACTTTTTGGTGCAGAGGCCTCACAAGTTTTCCTCTGCTCCCAAAGCCTGGGAGACTCCTCAAGTCTTCCCACAGCACATGCAGTCCTGAAGCTAGACGGAGCAGGAACAGCACCTTCCTCCCTGCAAGAGAGACATCAAAGCCTCTCCCCCATACCCTGCAGGAGGGACACCTCCATGGGGTGCAGGAGGCAAGCACCTGCCAGGACCTGCAGCAGCACAGGAGGCAAAGAAACTGTTTGCTCAGAGGGCAGGAACTTTATACAAAACATGATTCTTCCAGGATCCAAACACACACTTCATGAATGAGTGTTTCCACAACGCAGTTCAACACACTCAGCTGTAGACTGGTTCCAGATCTTCCCACCAAGCCACAAAATCCTGCTGCTTCCCTTGGGAAGATGAATCAGTTCAGCTGGGTGATCCACAGGAACTTATTTACCTCCTTCAGGCTCAGTTTTCCACTGGATCAACAAGGTGAACCCATTCACATAGCAGCAGCATCAAAGGAGGCAGGGGGATAGAATCTCCCATCTGACCAGCTAGGTGATAACAAAATACTGGCTGCAGAAGCAAAAAAAGTCAGTGAAAAGCCACCAACTTCTTTCCTTAGGAGCCTTTTGCCAGGGAGAAAGTCAAGTTTCCTTCTGCTTTACCTTTCATATATCCTGCTGCTGAAACAATACAGCAAGACATTTGTGAGAGTATTTGGAAATATCAACAGGGACAAGATCATGGTGTAAGAAACAACTACTACTGTGCTACACCATCCTGGGCTTGGAAGCACTGAGCTGCTTTTGTGCTGTGTAGATGCATTTTCCCCTTGCGATTTATTAATGCCTTGCTTCTGTGAGAGTTTGCAGAGGGCTGAACCACTGAGGTGTGAATGAAGAGCAGCATGAATGATGTGAGTCACAGATCTTCCCTCAGAATCGACTTTATTATGCAAACCATTTTTTTTTTTTTACAAGAACAACCGAAAAAGCATTTTCAAGAGGCACAGAAGGCATCTTGCAGAAGGGCAGGGATCAGCTTGCCTTGGCTTTCACAGTTGAGGAGGCCTTTCCTGGCTGGAGAGGAAACAGGCTGGCAGGCTGGCCTTGTCTTGAGCCTTTCCAGAAGGAGATGAATTTTTACAAAGACAACATTCATTCTGCAAATGTCCCGCACTTTGCTGGAGAAGTCTGGCCTCACTTCCTTTGCCTCCCACCTTGATCAGGCCGTGGTAAAAACTCTCCCCTCCTTGGCACTTGAGCCTGAGACTCAGATTTCAACTTCCTCAGCACATCTTAGAGCAACAAGCTTGCCTGCAGATCTCACTGTCAGGGTTTTCCATCCCTGCAGAAAGCAGTCACCTTTCCCTGCTTTGCCATGCTGAGCTGGCCACTAAGGTAGGAAATAAAAACAGACACACAGGCAGGCAGGTATCACAAGCACTGTCCCAGCTGCAAACATGCTGTGACAGAGGTATGTGTTTTTCCCCACATGCAATTTCCCTCAGGGACATAGAAATGGCAGGAGAGCAGAAACTGAGTCACTGCTCTCTCCCCTTGAAAGTGCAGAGCTCCCACATGGCTCAGGACCAGAGCAGGAAAACCACTGGCCTTCAGGAAATGAGCCTCTCATCTCTACTGCATCCCCAAGTGACATGAAGAGCAGACAGCCAAGCAGGTCCTGTCCCCAAACCACAGGGCTGAGGGGACCTGCCAGTGCCCAGCAGCCTCAGTGCTGATCCCCTGTGCCTCTCCAAGCCTCCCCACACCAGCTGGAGAACCGGTGCTCAGGAAAGATCAGAGCTTTAGGCAGGGGAAGCAGGAGCAAGGGCTGGGTTCACCTCATCCCTGCTGGGTTTCCTGGGGTGCTGCTGGCCCCTGGTGGACACCACCCCATGTCTCAGCTGCCCTGCTTGGGGAGGACACCCTGGGGCTGCTTCCCTGGGGAAGGACTGTGGCTGTGCCTGCAGAGGAACAGCCAGGGATGGCAGGGAGCGTGTGGTGGACAACCTGCCCACATCCCCTCCTGCACATCAGGGTCACCATGAAGGGGACAGCTTGGCAGGGGACACTGCCACCACAGGGGACATCTCCCACCATCAGGAAATGCTGGTGAGCCAGCACCTGAGCTCTGGGAAGGAGAAAAGGAGTGGAGAAAGGCAGGGACCCAGCTGGGCACCCTCCTTATTAACTGAAGATTTAAAGCAGCCTTTTAAAAACACTGCCTGAAGTTCTCTGCTCCCTCCCGCACCAAGCACAGCACAGACGATGAAGGAAGGCATACCTGTCATCCCTGGGTCCTCCTCCTCCCCAGCGTGGCTCCTGCCTCCACCTTCACAGCTGGCTCTGGTGACACTCCAAGCAAATCCCGAGATCCCAGACAGATCTCTCCATCTCCCCCTTCATTACTGCCGTTCTCCTTACGCTCCCATCACACCAGGGCACGGAGCCTCCGTGCAGGCTGCCCAGGAGAGCGAGGAGGGAGGCTCTGGACAGACCACACACCCCTCTGCAGCCTCGCCAGTCTCAGCCCATCTTTAGTGCTGGCCCAGCACTGCTCTGGGTGTGCCACAGCGAGCTCGGGGTGGGGCTGAGCTCAGCAGCTTCCACAGAATACAGAGCCCCCGTGCCACCGGCCACACAAGGCAGTGTGGCCCCCAGGGTGGGCACTGGCAGGGTGCCAGTCATGGGCATGAGGGGCACTGTGGATGAGAGATGTCAGCGCAGACAGGCAGCCCAGAGAGCCCTGGGGAGGCCCATCCTGCACCACACAGAGACAGAAATGCTGCAGCCTCCGGGTAGTCCCGGAGAGATCAGACCTTCAGCACCTCCTCTCGACTCCCACCTTGCAGGGGGGAGAGAGAAGCACAAGTCAGGCCGGACCCCAGATCTCACCCAGGGCCAACAGCCGATGGCAGCTGCTCCCCACAAAGGATAACACCCCCCAAAATGCAGAGGCACCCCTTTCTTGAGATGTGGCTGTCAAACATCCCCCTTCTCTCCTCCAACACCACCGCCACCTCTCCGCCTTGCCTAGGGAGCACTTACTTGCCATGCTGCCTCACTCGGCCAAGGGGGGCTCCTGCCTACCTGCAGGGAAGAAAACAGGAGAGTCACTGACTGCTTAAATTTCCAGCCCAGTTTCAAAGTCCAAACTTCCATCGCCCAGGATCAGATTCATGCAGAAAGCATGGCGCTGAGTGGTGGACCCACAACAGATCCCAGCTGAGCAGTGCCCCTGCAGAGAGCCAAGGATTCCAGCTGCCTCCCTGCTCTTCACCTGCCTGGAGGGGCTCAGGACACCCTCAGCTCCCAGAGTGCTGGGGCAGGTCCCAGGGAGAAGCAGGGCCCTTGCAGACCAGCGAATTAGGATGGGAAAAACTGGATGAAGGATAGACCCCATTTCTCACCAGCAAATGAGATGAACTGCATGTCAGACTGCTGGGAGCAGCCTGGTGCTCTTTCCTTCCACAAGAGATTGATGGATACAGGTGAAGCAATCATCTTATTTTAGAGCAACTCCACAGACGTGCCAGTTCTCACTCCTGCAACTCCTACCCACAATCTGGTTGTTGGGCCAAACTAAGGGCAGCAGCAAGAGTGACAGAGCTCCCTGCACATCCAGAACAGCTCTCCAGCTGGACAAGCACCTTTTGTGCTTCAAAAGCAAAACTGAACTAAACAAAACCCCAGAGAAGTTAAACAAAGCCGTGCAGAAGCAGAGGATTTCTGCCTGTTTCCCATGCTCACAGATCAGACTGCCCTGGGCTGACCACTGCTGCGTGTGACACTTGCTGTGGCAAAGCCACAACTCTGTCAGGAGACAGAGAGGACAGGACTACCCAGCTCCTACAGGGGCTTATTGCAGATGAAGGAGCAAGCATGGTTAGAAACAGCAGGAACTAAACCACATGCTGGTCTCAGGCCCAGGACTTTAGATATCCAGTTATTCCAAAAGCACTTGGATCTGTTCTGCTGGAGTGAGGTCAGGAACAGCACAGAGCTGTTCACAGGGTCAGCAGGGCTGGAATCACAGCTCTCCTTTCACATAAAAGGCAGGCACACAGAAGGGCTGATGCTGCACACCAGCACACCTCACAACAGCCACCTTCCAGTAAATGGAGCACCTCTCCCTGCCAACATCAGGTTTGCTGTGCTTTCCAAGGCTCCTGCACCGTAAAGCGGCAAGAGGGCATGCAAGCCTGGAGCTGTGTTCAGAGAGAAAAAAACAGCTTCTTCCCAACAGTTTGGGAAGCTCAGATTGCAAACCTCAGTCTACAGCTGAAGCAAGAGCAAGGGAAAGCAACAGAGCACCAGAAGTATATGGGAGGGATCTGCTGCCTCCAGTGCCCAGCAGCCCAATCCCGCTTCTCTGAGCCCTTCTGGGGGATGTGAGAGGCCTCTCTGGATCCATGAATTCCCCCACAGGCTCTGAGCAGAGACCACCTGACCCACTTCTGCTGTCATCAGTTTTTACAAAGAGACCCAAAGCCCCAGGATAAAAGAAATCACAGCACACAGAACATGCCACAGTTTCCACACAAACCCTCGTTGTTACAGGCACTCTCCCCCTCTAATGGACAGGAGAACAAAGACACAGAAAGAAGGATATTCTCACGTCACACATCAGGCAACAAATTTAATGTTGTTTAATTTCATTTACACTCCTTTACTTTCTTCCATGTATCTGTGTCAATGCACCCAGTGCCACAATCAGGGAGGTGCACACAAGCTTCCAAGCACAAGCAATGCCGGTGGGAGGGGCAGATGCCCCAGAAGCTTATTTTTATTTCCACATGCAAATTCCTGGCCACCTCCCCTGGCTCCAGCAAGCAGGAAAAGCTGGAGCATTGCACACGCTGACACCAAGGGGAGCAGCATCCCTCCTGCCCCTACACAAGCTGAGAGAAGCCTGAAGCCGGAGGCTGACCTAGCAGACGCCCACCCATTCCCGATCCCCCCCCTCTGGCTTCCCATCCTCTATAAATACCCCATCGATAGGAGGTTGCTAAGGCAACCGTGAGGAGGCGCGAGGGATGCAGCCATGGGAGTAAGGATGCTGCAGTCGCACATTTGTGTCTCCCCCAGGCTCCCCCATCTCCGCCCCCGCTCCCGTCACTGATGCCAAAGGAGGAAATCGTGCCGGGAAAACACGGTGTGTGCGTGGAGCCGGTGCCCCACGGACCCCGAGGGGACCTGGGGGTCCACAATGGGAGGTGGCACTTCCTTGACAGGCTGGAGGGGGCACAGGTAGGGGTCGGGGACATCCACAGCCCCCAGTGACGCGCCACGGCGTGCAGGGAGGATGCTGACTGTGCCAGCATCACGTAGCCGCGGTGCCAGCGGCTCAGCTGGATCCCAGCAATATTGGGGGTTTTCCGTGCCAAGATCCACGGCGAGGAGAAGAGGCTACACCGGCTACACTTGACAGGACAGGAAGCCTCGCCCTCCCAAAACAGCTTTCACTCGCCACCCTGCTCCTAGGCTGGTCCTCACACTGCCCTGGCAGCCCCCAGCCCGGCCCCTCTGTGCCCAAACCCAACTCGGAATTATCCCCACCGCGCTCTGCTTCCAGAGCCACCCCACGGCAGGGATCCCCCAGCTCACCTGTCACCCTGCAGCAGGGACCCCCAGCTCACCTGTCACCCTGCAAGAGGGACCCCCAGCTCACCTGCCCAGGTGTGCAGGGGCTTTCTGGTCCTCTCTCAGCGTTCAGTGCCACCCCATGGCAGAGCCCTCAAGCCTGTCACCCCACAGCCGAGACCCCCAGCTCACCTGTCACCCCACAACAGGGACCCCCAGATCACCTGTGACCCCGCAGCAGAGACCCCCTGCCTACCTGTCACCCCACAACAGGGATCCCCAACTCACCTGTCACCCCATGGTAGAGCACCCCAGCCTGTCACCCCACAGCGGGGTCCCCTAGCTCACCTGTCACCCCACAACAGGGACCATGTCACCTGTCACCCCACAGCGGGTGTCACCCCAACCCACCTCCCCGGCCATGCGGGGGTTTCCAGCCCCACCCTCCGCCCCACCGACACGTCCTCCTCCTCTCCTCCGTTCTGCTGTTCGCCACGCGCCCAGACACACCGCGCCAGTCCCAGCGCTCCCGGCTCCCCCCCATCCGCGGCACCAGCCCCTTCCCTCCCGCTCCAGCCCCACAGCCGCGGTCCCCCGGCTCCGCTTTCCTCCCCCCGGCCCCGCTGCCGCACCCCATCCCCGCCGGTACCTCATGGCGGCCCCGCGCCCGCCGCAGCCGCTCCCTCCCGCCGACGGGCAGGGGAGGGAAAGCCCCGCCCCCGACACGCCCCCTCCATCCCCTCGGCCAATCGCGCCCCTCCCCGGCCCGCGCGCACCGCCTTCCCCTCGCGATGGGGATGCGGGGCGGGGCCACACGCTCCTGCCCCAGCTCGGATGGCTCGGCAGCCAATCAGAACGGGCTGCGGCTACCGGGCGGCGCCGCGGTGGCTGCTGGGAGTCGTAGTCCTGAGCTCCGCCGTGGTCCCGCGGAGTGCAGGCGCGGCCCGGGGGCGGCCCCGGGAGTTGGCCGGAGCTCCGGGCGGGTCTGCCCCGCTGCCGCACGCAGCGCGGTCTGCCTTCCCCTGCCTATTGCCTCACGCCGTTCTGCTGGGGCCGGAGCTGCCAGCATACCGCGGGTGTCCCGCGGTCACATCCCCTGTCGCCTCCTCTTCATCATCCCCCTCTTCTTCTTCTTCCTCCTCCTCGCTTCCCGAGTCCTCATAAAAGAAGAGGGTGGCCTGCACCGGGAAGTTCTCCAGCAGCTTCTCCCCCACGCTGTACAGGTGGTCAAAGGCCTTGGACTTGGGCCAGAGGAGCCTGCGTGGGGAGAGCCGGGGTGAGCCCCTCGCCCGCCGCGCCCGCCGCGCCCTCCCGGAGCCCTGGTGCCCGGGCACGTACCTGACCGGGTGCTGGAAGAACGCCAGCGCTTTGCTGGGACCGCCGTCCCCCTCCGCTGCCCGAGCCCGAGCCTGGGGAGACACAGCCGGGTGGTGCCGGGGCTGCCGCGGCCCCTCCCCGCAGGGCTGGCACCACAGTGCCCTGTGCTGGCACCCCACACAGCCACAAACTCCCCCCTCCCCTGCCCCTGTGTTGGAGCGCTCACAGTACCACAAGGAAGCTCGCATCTACCCCCACTCCCTCCTGACAGGCTTTTTGCCAGTGTAATCTCTCCCCCGTGCTCAAGAGCTGGTGCCCAGGCATCCCACTAACCCCCTGAGGAATGCCCGCCCAGCCTGGGAACAGGCGACCCTTTCAGGCTCCCGTGGGGGGGCTGCTGTGGCCGTGTCCCCCGGGGGGGTCAGCCTGGCCCTGCCCCAGGGGCTGCGTGGGGCGCGGGGACATGCTCCAGGGGAGGGGGACACGGCACCGCCGTGGGACAAAGGGCTCCGGGGGGACGGCCGCTGGGGCGAGAGGCTGGTTTTCTGCCAACAGGGACCCCAACCTCACGGGCATGGGGACAGACACAGCAGGGAGTGCCAAACTCACAGGGTCCATCTCCCCTCGCCGCGTCGCGGGTCCCTCCTGAGCTCGGGGCAGCCACGGTCTCCAGAGAGGAAGGGCTCTAGGAGAGAGAGCAGGTTCAGCGCCATAGCCCCTCAGCCTGGCCCGCTCCCCTTTGCCTTGCTCCCCTACACCACAGCCTCACCCGCCCGACCAGCCCTGCCCGGGTGCCGCCACCCTCTGCCCCACCGGTGACCGCTGGGATCAGAGGCGTCCGCAGCACCGCAGCCCGCACCCAAACCCAGCTGGAGCTTCCCCATCCCACCTTCCACACCCCCCGGCAGCACCCAGTACCTTGCCCCTTGCTCCGGCCCCAGCGGTGGGCAGGCGCTGGCCACAGGCACCCGGAGCCCGTGGGCACTCGGGCAACAGGCAGCAGCTTGCATGGTGGCACAAGACACCGTCCCTTCTGACACTGCAGACCCTTGGTGGGGACACATTTATAGCTCTGCCTCGGCCGTGACTCACAAATTCCTTGGGGCAAGGGAGCGAGGGGCTGGGGCTGTGGGGACAGCGGTGTGAAATTTGTCCCAGTTGTGTAAACAGAGGGCCGGGGGGAGGCTGGGGGCGGAGGGACTGCGATCTCTGGTGGAAAAGCAAAACACAAAAGGGAAAATTTGGACACCATTTGTGAGAAAATCCCCGGGGGGGAACAGGGGAGGGTAGAGACAATTAACAAGGATGATTAAGTGCTCTTTGTAGCCATTTGCATAAGGGAGGTGGTGGGGATGGGAAAGGGATGGGAAATGGTGGGGCAGCGTGATGGGTATGGGATTGGGACAGTGCAATGGGCATGGGATGTGACTGAGTGCTGGGCATGCCATGGGGACAGTTGGGTGGGCTTGGGATGGGAACAGCACAAAGGGCACAAGGACAGCAGTGATGGTTCAAAGTGGTGGCAAGCACAGAGCCACCAGGAGGTAGCTGACAACTCGAGAGAGGCTCAAGAGCAGACAGGGAGGGGAGACGTGGCAGGGATGGACTCCAGGCACTATCAGGGCAGTGGTCTTGCTCAGGCATCCACAGCCCATCACCCTAGGGAGCTGCCAGATCCCATTTCCACAGATGGGAGAGCATGCACTTGCCAGTGCTCCCTGCCTTCTCCTTTGAGTTTTTGAGATGCAGATCACACCAGGAGGTACAGAAAAGCTCCTCGATGTGAGGATACAAGGCTGATGCACCCCCTGGCCCCAGCAGGACCACTCATCCCGTCCCTGCCCGCTGCTCCTGCCCAAGCACTCGAAGAACAGTGCCACTGGCAGACTGGTCACCTCCTGCTTCTGGGAGAGTTTCAGTCTGGGACAAGGAAAGAAAATAGCAAATGGTCCCTGCTGTAGCTCTGCTGTCAGCATCCAAACACCGCTGTCCAAAGGCTGGCCGAACCCCGCTCAGCTCCAAGCACAATTTGTCACCAGAGGCCCTCCCTGCCCCTCTCCATCTGTGACAGCCGGTGAGCAGGAGGGGGCACGGGCCCAGCACAGCTCTCATTACCTTCCCCATTTGCTCCTCATTTGGACCAGCAGTCTTACAACAACAAACCCCGTGGAGGACAAGCAGGGCCAGGAAGAGTAAACCAAAAGCTCAGGCTGGCTCTGAGGAGTGGGGAGCTCAACCTGCTGGTGTTTCACTGCCCCTCATACCCCAATACAAGCAGCACAGCCCAGAGTGGACACATGGATGGTAGCACAACCACCTGCCAGCCACTAAGGTGGTCCAGAAGGATGACAGCAAGCCTCAAACCTGAACCCATTTGGTGAACCTACCCCAATAATTCATAGACAGCAAGCAAAGCAAGGTACCCCAGCTCCGACACCCAAAGGGTTTAATTGCGATCTGCAATAAGCCTCTGATCCAGGCGGAGATTTGCAGGTGGATTGTGCAAAGCTGTAGCCAAACAACTGCAGCCCCTGATCCCCTGGACTGGGGCCCTGGCTGCTCACCCTGCCCCAAGCAGCTGCCTCCAGTCCTGGGTGACCCCCGGCTGCAGCCACCGTGGGTCCCACCCTGCATCTCCAGCCACCTCTGTAAGTACTGCAGAGCTCCCTCCTGCACCTTTCTGCCGGCACCCTGAGCACCCTGAGCACCCCAGGTGTTTCTTTTCCAGCAACCGGAGGCCAGAGGTCTTGGTTAGAGCACAGGAGAGGGGACGGAAAGCTGGGAAGCTTTGGTGCCAAGCATTTGAGGTGGCAGCGGTGGGGACAGGAGCAGAGGGGAGGCTCTGGGTGGTGGCAGCACGCTCAGCCAGGAGCGTTCCCAGGGTGAGGGAGGCCACTGGCCGCGGTGCCGGGGCTCAGTCTGGTTTCGCAAGGCACCGCAGGAGGAGGAATTTTTAAACAAAGCAGAGGGAAAACAAACCAACCCTCTCCACCACCTCTGCCAACCCCCCTGCCTATGTACAGGGCTGTGGGTGGGAACTGGCATCGGCACAAAAACCCAGCGTGAGCTGCACCCCGAACTGCTCACCCCTCCACAGGACAGGTCACCCCGCTTGGCTGGCATGCTTCCAGGAAGCATCCCAGAGGTGCCAGCCCTGATGTAGTCCTGCCCTCTGTGGGCCTCCAGGCTCTCCTGGGGATGCAGGTGTCACTGTCATATACATCCCTCTCCATCCTTGTCCCCAGCAGCACGGAAAGGGTGATATCCATGGTTCAATCTCAGGTAGCCATGTCCTGTTCTCCCAGAGGAACCTCAGCAGCTCGGGGTGGGCCGTGGGTCACTGCAGATGCCTTGGGTGAGCCCCATGCAGATGGGGACGAGGTGCCATCTCCTTTCCTTAGCTGTGGGAGCTTTGGGTTCAGCACCTGAAGTCACCTCCAGCGGGTCCCAAGTAAGATGGTGCAGCCACAGCTTTTTGGCTTCCTCAGTTCGAGGCGTCCCAGAAGACAAGGGACCTCGAGGAAGGCAGTGGGCACTTTTCCCGCACCAGCAGCCGGCTCTCCATCCCTGCCCGCGGCGTCAGTGCAGGGGAGGGCTTTGGCGTCCTTCCTGGGCAGCGCTGCTCTGCCTCTGGAGCCTGCCTGGGGAGATAGCGGAGGTGAAAGGGCGCTTGGCGCTCCTCCACGGGCTCGGGTCAATCGTTAATCGAGGAGGGATTGCTTTCCACTCTCGCAGGTAACCTCCCCGCGGCTCCCACCCCGCACAAAACCAGCACCCCCGGGAGCGGGGTGGAGCTGCAGCGCTGCGAGCGGAGCCTCTCGCAGGGCCATGGGAACGTGAGCACACGGGAGGGACCTGGGCGACAAGCTGCGAGCCCCGGGTAGGTGACAGAGGTGACAGCCAGCCCTCACCATGGTGTCCATGGGGCTCCAGCTGCTGGGCTACACCGTGGCCTTCCTGGGCTACATCGGCACGCTGACGGCCACGCTGCTGCCCAGCTGGAAGACCAGCTCCTACATCGGCTCCAGCATCGTGACAGCCGTCAGCTTCACCAAGGGGCTGTGGATGGAGTGCGCCACGTACAGCACGGGCATCACCCAGTGCGACATCTACAGCTCCCTGCTCAACCTGCCCGCCGACGTCCAGGCGGCCCAAGCCCTCATGGTGAGCTCCTGTGCCGTGTCCTCCCTCGCCTGCCTGCTCTCTGTCGTGGGCATGAGGTGCACCGTCTTCAGCCAGGGCTCGCCGGGCAAGGACCGGGTGGCGGTGGCGGGCGGCGCAGTTTTTGTGCTCGGGGGGCTGCTCTGCTTCATCCCGCTGGTGTGGAACATCCATGTGGTGCTGCGGGATTTTCGCAACCCCGTCATCCCCGACAGCATGAAGTTTGAGCTCGGGGAGGCTCTTTATCTCGGCATCATCTCCTCCCTCCTCTCCCTCATCGGCGGCTTCATTCTCTGCGCCTCCTGCCCTGCCCGGGACACGACGGCCGCCTACTCCAGCGCCTACCAGCCCCAGCTGCTGGCCAGCAAGAGCCCCCAGCCCTCTGCCAGCCAGGTGCAGAAGACCAAGAGTGAAGTCAATTCCTACAACCTGACAGGATACGTGTAGCGGCCGCAGGTGGGAACCAGGCTGGCACCTCTCCCGGCTCCCCAGAGCGTCCGGGCTGGCACCAAGGGAACGCGGTAAGAGCATCGCCCGTGCTCAGCCCTCTCATGTGCTTGGGGGGCTGACCCCGCTCTCTCCCTGGGATTCTGAGAGCCTTGTGACTGCTTGGAGATCCCAGCTGGTGGCTTACATTGATGAAGGACCCTGAATCCGGCTTCTGTTCTTTACTCCATGCTGCCAGCTCTCAGCTCCTGGCACAGGGGGTCCCCAGCCTGCAGCCCCAATGAACCTGCCTGGAAAGGGGAGTGGGCTTGTTGCCCCAGGGACCGGCCCGCTGGCCGTGGAGGCATCACAGCAGGGTCAAGGGCATGTGCGTGGGTCTGGAGTCTCTGCTGAGTGCTGGTTGCAAACTGATGTCGCAATAAATATGTCTTTCTAGCCAGACTGTATCCGAGCTTTTCTCTGACACTGAGGGGCAAGCAGAGGGGCTGGAGAGGGGGCCAAGATGTGAAAGGTGCCCCTGGCTCTTGTTCTGGCATGCCTCCCCCACCCCACAGCTGATGGCTTTGTCGCCCAGGTGGGAGCACTGCTGGGGGGAGGAGGGCCACTCCCTGGCACAGTTTGTCCCTGGGCACCACGCTGGGAGGTTGCCATGCACCACTACTGCCAGGGTGCCAGCAGGGACAAGCAGAACTCCCTGTGGGATAATAGCAGGCAGCACCTTCCTTCTGCCTCCCAGTCCTTCTTGTTTCTAGGACTGCAGGGATGATGAGACTGGGGTGCCCACGGGGGGATTCATTGCCCCTGTGTGTGGCACATCCAAGTTCCCAAGTGGTGGGGAGTGCTGGCATTCCCACATCCCCATCCCAGTGAGCACTGGCACCCCTGGATCAAACATGGTCCCTAGGACTAGAGGCAGTTCCTGGCTATGGCAGAGTCTGAGCAGCCCAACTCAGCTGCAGAGAGGCCTCACAGGCAGGTCCTGAGCCCTGAAGTCCTGAAAGGTCTGTTTTGGGAGAAAAATGCCACCAGTGAGACACTGGAAAGCTGCAAGGGATGGGCAGGCAGGAGCCAAGGCTGTGGAGGCTGTGTGGCTGCAGCCCTGCACAGGAACAGCAGCACGACGTCCACATGGGCTGCTGGTGGCCCTGGGTGATGCTGGGCACGTGCCAGGGCATGGCAGGAGAAGAGGTGCGGGCAGTTCAGCCCCACAGCCCACCAGGGAGCAAGAACATTTGAATCCATCTGATGTACCACTGCCCCACGTGAGAGAGCCCCCGCTCTGCTGTGCCACAGCACAGGGCCACCCGGAGACCACCCTGCCCTGGCTCCTTGACCCCAAGGAGCAGGAGGCCTTGGTCTACCTGCTGACCCTTCATAAAGCAATTTAGATTAGGTCACGGAGAGGAAGGGACAGTGTTCTCCACTCAAACGTCACAACCGTCACCCTTGCACCAGTGAAATCGTGTTTGCTGTGGGGTTAGCACACTCCTGATAACATTGGGTCATGCTTTCTCCCCTCATCAGAGAGCAAGGAGCCACATGGGGACCCATCCCCAGGGTGACACTCGCTGGAGGGACCAGGGTGGATCTCAAGGCAAAGACCAGTGACCCCATTTCCACAGCCAAGGGACAAAACACAAAGCACAGCATCAACCCTGGACCAGCTGAGTTATTTATTCCTGCCCTGGGGAAAAGACTACCCTGGGGCTTAACCTGCTGGCTGCAGCCCCCCAGGAGATGCTGCAAGTTCTGAGTGTCCTGTGGCCATAAAAGATTTTTTTTTTATGGGCAGCTGGTGGAGAGAGTGGGAGAGAAAATAGTTGGCACAAAAGATCACACCTTAAAGAGGAGGAATTCCTGGGCACTGGGTCCTTACCCCTCACCTCCCACCCCTGTCTGCGGGCAGAGGCTGTGCTAATTAAACAAAGGGGCATTTGAAACGCTCAGAGCTTGATTGGTGCTGGGCTTATTAATGCTTTAATTCAAGGAGCAGAAGGGAAGCTTCCCCCAGAAGGAGAAAGGCAGCTGGCACAGGCAGAGGCAGGCAGAGCTCAGAGCTCGGGTGCAGAAGCACCCATCACACTGGAACAGGGACCAGCCTTTCCCCAGGCCCCCCTGCCTCCAGTCCTGCCACAGGGGAGCTCCTGCACTAAGCTGTGGGTTGGTTCAGGGAGGAGAACATTTCTCCCCTCCAGATTCCCTGGCCTTCAATGTGAATGCATCCAAAGATGTGAAACTTGGCTACAGGACAAGGCAGGTTGACACAGATTTTCCACTTGGGAAGGAGGATGGGGAAGGGGAGGGGAGGACACTGGGTGCACAGATGTGGTGGCAGTGGTTATCTCTGCATCACGCAATAGCCATGTTCCTCATTATTGATAAACCAGGTTCTTGAGGGCAGCCTGGATGTAGCCCAGCCTAGGGAAAGGGAGAACAGGAGCCCAGACTGCCCCCGGGGGCAGTTCTGCTGATGGAGAGCTGAGTGAAGGGATGGAGCTCAGCCAGCCAGCACAGCACAGAGCCAGCCCCTCAATGGCCTCTTGCCCCTCACCAGCTCAGTGGCAATAGCTGAGGGTGCTCCAGGATTCCCTGCAGGAAAGGCACAGGGAGCACAGCCAAGCTCAGGACAAGATGGGCAGCCGGGGGAAAAGCAGGGCTGGGAAGAGGGCTGGGTGGGGAAGAGCTCTCTCCATCTCAAGCCCTCACCTTGCAGGCTGGTGTGGTGAAGTGGGGGAGCCTTGCAGCCCTCACTGGAGGGCCAGGCTGCAGTGACTAATCCCCTGTCATAAGGAAATGAGTCTTTCCCCTCTCCTCTTCTCGCTCTGGATGATGCCTCAGTGGAAGGAATGGGGCAATAAAATACTAATGTGCCCTTATCTTCAAAAGCAATAGAGGTACTATAAACACTCAGTCCACGCCAACCTGCGATCAGGGACTGCAACCTCATCAGCTGGTCACGAGCAACATGCAACAAGTCACAACTTCTTCTTCCAAAGAGGGAACAGCACAGCCCTTCTCCAAGGCCCCTGCATCCAGCCCCTACCCACCAAGCACTGCCCCAGGAGCAAGCAGAGCCTCTTCTTGTGCAGAGCACTGGGCAGGGATGTCCAGGTAAAAAAAGGCACAGGTTTGCCCTAGACCCACCAGGATCAGACACCCCCTGCCGCTCTGGAGCCCTCCAGGCAAGCAGAACTCCTTCTGACATTCCCAACCTGTATCTCATCTCTGCCTAGCACAACTGACCTGAAGCAGCAGCAAATAATCCATGCAAGCTCTCTGGGGAGTATCGGGCCACGTGCTGGGAGGGCCCATCTCTGCCCACAGCCCCCAGGAATTGCTCAGATAGGAAAGATGGGAGGGGGAAGGAAATTCAGGCCAAGTTCCTGATGGGCCAAGGCACTTGGAAAGGGCCAGCACATTCCTCCACCCTCTCCCCAGCCACAGCACACTCCCAGCTGCCTCCCACACCATGTCAGAGCCTCCTCGCCCCTCAGCAAGCCAGGGCAGATATGGAAGATTGCCCATGACTTTGCAGCAGCCTTTTCTGGAGCAGCAGAGGATTCACAACTGAAGGGACTGCTCCCAGAAACCCCAAATCCTGACTCCCAGCCTGGGCTCAAGTCACACACTGGTACAAATGGGAGAGGCATTCCCCGCCCCAACCATGCCCCTGAGTCTGGGAAAGAGCCTCTTGGATTCACCTTTGGGCATCTGTGGTGCTCAGCTGGCAATTTCACTCCCATTTTGCCTCCAAAGCATGGGATGGCTCTGTCTGGAGTCAGGGCAGACAACACGGGCTGTTGGTGCCTGGCTCTTCTGGTCCTGGTGGGAGACCTTGCAATGGAGGTGAGAAACAAGCTCCTCTTTGGAAAACACCTTCTATCAGGGGAAAAAGTGCTGCACAACTCACAGCTTTCCACATCTGTCCAAAGGAGACCTGTTTAAAGGCACTTTAAAGGATCTTTCTGTCTTGAAAGAAAGATATGAGGGAAACAGGGCAGAACGAACTCCATGACACTGCAGGGGACAGAGGCCTTTGGGTGCACCGAAGGAGATTACTAGAAAGCACTTCCTCTTTGAACAGCAGCTCAGGAATCTATCAGGAGGGTTATAAAAGGTGTTTATCTCACAAAACCTGATACCCGTGGAGAGGACACGGAGGTTTGATCTTCCAGGCACTGCATTAACATCACAATCAGATTGTTCCATAATAATTTGAGTCTAATCTCTACTGGAGGAGCTTCAGGTTAGTGATCTCAGCAAACCTCATGTACATGCAATCTGTAGTAGCAAAAAAAGGCTTTGTAGTAGAACCCACACCAATTCAGTGAGCAAGACATATTTTTATAGTGGTACAAACACAACCTCTTCCACAGATTATGCAGAAATATTGGGGAAAACATACTCCATCTCCAAAATCTGCCAAAATCTGCTTCGAAGAACTGGTTTAGAGAATTGCAGATAAATTGTCCTGCACCCTCAACAGCTCCACTACCAAGTGATGGTTCCACAGCACCACACTGGACAGGATAGGGGAAGACCAGAGGATCCCAAACACAGACAAACAGAGCTGCAACCACCTTAGCAAGTCTAGAGAGTCATGCCAAGCATTCCCTGCCATCCTGTCACCTCCATGCTCAAGGGCACCAATGTTCTGGCAGCTGCTAACAAAGGTTCATACCTAGAAGATGATCAGACCCCAGGCACAGCTGAGCCCCTTCAGGCTCTCTGCTAAGCACCACGAGTCTGGAAGGAACAAATCACCCCATAAGCAGAGAAACCAGGGGGGCTTCACCAGCTTTGGGGTTGCCTTTTATCTCTACTCAGGATTTCACTGTGTGCTTTGGATGAAGTTTTTCCCACACTGGCAAACTAATCTTTCCTCAAGTCAGGTGTCTTTTTTCACAGAACTTACAACATCCTCTATTTCTGGGATGTCCAGCCTGCTAAAAAAGGCTGAAAGCAGAACAAGACTCACGTCAGAAGCAGCATTATTGCCTCAAACTCGCTTTCCCAGAAAAGCTGTCTCTCTAGGTTTCTCAGGTCACTGGAGCAAAGTCCCACAGCACCAGCTCTACCTGGCAAGTGATCCTAAGATTTCTCCAACAGGTGCATTTTCATTATCCAAATGTTTATCCCTCTCCTTTTGAGGCAGTGGGCACAATCTTTCAGAGCACAGAAAAGCCCAGAGACTCTGTAGGCATTACAGAGCTAAGGGCAGACCTCATCTACCCCTGGATCCACTGTGATGCTCCCTTGCCCTTTGAACTATTCCAGTACACTTTTATGGGAATTAGGGCTCTGCTCTTTACCTCTGGTTCTTCCCCAGCTGCCACAGAAGCTAGGCACACATCTCACAGAGCACTGGGAGCCTCTGATCCTCCCACGACTGAACACCTCCTCCTCAGCCTTCTGCCCTTCCCAAACACCCTTTATTTTAATGTTTTCAGACTGTGAACTGGCAGGATGTTCCACCCCAGGCCTGGCTGCTGGCCGGGGCAAGGCTGGCTCCATCTCTGTGCTGCCCGGGGAGGCAGCAGGGGAGAGATATCAGGGAGAAAAACAATTAGCTCCTTGTTTTCATGACAAGGAGAGCAGGCTTTGGGTCCAGGGGCATCCTCAGCAAGGGGCAGGACCTCTCTGTTGCAGGACAGAACCTCTGGAAGCAGCTCCCAGAACAAAGTCCCCATAGCCCAGCCCAGAGAGCTGCCAGGATCCTGTTAACACACAATAAATTTCCACCTGTCGGGGCAGAGCTGTCCCTGTAGCTGACACCCAGGGCCGGCTCACAAGCAAGGGTCTTGCTGTGGGTTCCGGCCTCCTTCCCAAAGCTCAGGGAATCCCATCTCCCTGCTGTGCTAGGGTGACCAGAGTCCCACGGGGCTGATTTCTGCCTGGGATTCTGCAGCTGAAAACAGGTATGTTTTACCTCACAGGTCACAGGCAGAGGCAGCTAATCCACCCAGCTTCAGTGCTCAGTAAAATCCTTATGAGGAATAAAAGGGAATAAGCAGCACAAACCACAGTGCAAAGGCAGCCCTGTCCTGTGTGAGGAGACAAGTTTACCCTCAGCTGTCCCTGAGTGCAGCTGCCCTTTCCCATGGAAGATCTTTGCAAAGCAGAGGCTGCCCAGGAAATGCAGGACTAAAGCTCCCAGCTCAGTGATGGGATGAAGAGAGCCACAGTGC